TAGACCTAGCAACATTTTACATTCAGCTCATACAAGTACAGCTGAATCTAGTTGCAAGGTGGTGGAGAATTCTATCCCAAGAGGTCTAAAAGGAAAAGTACTAAAAATCCCAATGAAAATGAATGGTCAAGAGCTTCTATGCTGACAATGTATGAGCACAAGCTCTCATTCCACTTAGTACAGTACTGTCACGGCTGTCACTGAGCTCACTGTTATGCAAAGCTGATCCGCTTTGTTAGTAGAGCAGCTAATGGAAATCTGACTTAAGCCAGGAAGTGTAAATTTCATTCTTTTTTGGCATGGCAGAGCTATACCAGAATGAAAGTTCTATTTGCACAAGATAACAATCAATGGGAGTTAAATTTGACGTAAGCTGGATTTTTAAAAGAGTAATTCTTACATAATTCAGACAATGGCAGCCAGCGAGATTATGCTGGAAGTGAAGATCTTTCCAATCTACCTTTTGGTAGATAAGGAATTTGAACTTTCAGGCCTATCTCTGACTGTTCCTGATTCCACTGCAGAATCACCTTGTGAACTTAAGTGTGCCACTGGTTTTAAAGACCAGAAGAGAGAATTTCATTCTCTGCCTAAAATCCTCAGCTAAAAATTCATGCATCAAACCTATACCTTTTATTTGAGATACAAAGTACTTACAAAAGCATTATCCACTGTTGAGGTAAGGTTCAAGTGGTGAGGGGAATCTATATTATTTATGCAAAGGTGTCACAAAGTTATTAATTATCAAAACTACTTATTTTAATTACAGTTTGAATTTGTCTTTGTTTAACTTCCATTCGCTTTCATCATACCTTTTTTTTTTGTGCTTTATGAAAGCATAGTCGAGTATCAGTATGTAGAGATTATATGTAGTCTGTGACAAATAATTTATCTGTCTTTCAGAAAAGTATTTGCATAGCTAGCATAGTCTTTCCTCCTTTTCTACTCTCAAATTATTCTTCTTGTGCTTTTTTTTGCAATTTGTCTTTGTAATTTTGAAGTAGGAATGTCTGACTTGGATTTGTTACTTCAGTGACTGTTCATTGTTTCCAAGAGAAACATAATGTCAGTATCCCATAACTGCTTGATATTCTCTTCTTTTTGCATTCAAAGATCATCTTAGCTGTCTTAACCAGAATGTCATGCTGGGAGGTTCAGTGATTACCTACTGTGCCCCCTAACATGCTAAATTTTAAGACATTAATGAAATGTTATGCTCATCACATGGATCCATGGAAAGGACAGAAATGAGCTGAAATTTTTCCTCAGAATTGCACTGCAGCAAATGCAAGTTTTACTCCAAAGCTTTATGCCTGTGGAACGTCTTCCTGTTTTGCTTTGAAATTAGAGTGGCCTTATAAGGGAGGCATTTTCCCCTCTAATCCTTGCCATCATGTAAATTCTAATAATCTGCTTGGTTTCTAACAGTCAGAGTAGGAGGGGATCCTCACTGGGAGCAGTGGAATATTTACAGGGAAGTGTATATTGAAGTTGTTAGTCTTTAAAAGTCACTGAGGCAAGAAATGGTTGGACTTGATCTTAAGGGTCTTTCCCAACCTAAATCATTCTATAAGCAGTTAGTCTGACTTAGATCTGGTTTTCTCTTGATGCAGCTTTTGTTTGTGGCTTTGCTAGTGTTCCCATTTGCTGATAACAGCAAAAAAACAAAAGTAAACATGACGCACTTCACAGATATTTTGCTTTGCTCTCGCTGAATGTGAACGCTATGGAACATAGTGCACAGAGCTAGGGCAGACAAGCATTCAGACAGCAGAGCCGATTGCTGAGCAGAAACATTGGTTTGGGGGTGAAAAGCAAACTAGCTGCACTGGTGTTCTGCTTCATCTTGGCATATTGGCTCAATACAGTGCCATGCCCCATGTTGCCTCTAATTCTGGAGCTAATACTGTCACAGCAAGCTCAGCTGTCTTTGTACAGTACTGTGTGGACTAAATTTGTCTCCTGCACTGTCTCATCAACTAAGTTCCATTTAACCTGTCTTTCAACTTGTCTAAGGCTTTATTTTCTGAAGTCACTTGTCTAGCCTGCTCAGAGGTGCACAATGAGGTTTCTTACTCCACACTGTAAGTGAGGTCAAAGGTCAAGATTTTGCTTTACCGATCGGTGGAGGAAACTGCTGGACAGTGAGAGCAGATGAAATGTGAGAACTCTGTGACCTCAGTTTATACTTGCTAATAGACATGTAATTGTGTACCTTTGAAAAAGCGTGCCAAAAGTCATGCAAGCATGTGCAAAATAAAATCTTTCCCATTTCCAGAAGATGAAAAAATGAATAGCAATAAAGAAATAAACATCAATATGTGTATGTGTTAAATGTGTTAAATGCTTTCATGCAATCAAAGAAATATAAGCCATACTACTTTGAACAATCCTTTTATGAACCTTTCTCCCAGTAGTGCTGGAGGAAGTGTTTATCTACAGTTAGTGAACATGTCCCAGGTTCAGTTTTTAATTACATTTTGTGAAGAATCCATTCTTGGTGAGAAAGGGAAAAGAGAACAAAAACTTTTTTAAAGTTTGGCCAGCTATTTGTTTGCCAGCAATTTAAAAATTATTTTTAATACAAAGTCAAAACGTATTTGAAAAAACTTGCATTGTTTTGACTGTGCAGTGGTACCCCATCCCATTTGTGTGTTTGCCCAGCATGCCTAAGAACTATCCCATTTACATCTTTGGTACACAGAATGGTTGAACAATCATAATGATTTTTGGTTTTGTTGCTGTTCAATATGCAGCTTCCTACCTTATTTATGATGTGTAATTAAGATTTCTGCTCTGAAGAACATATCTGTGATTTTCTTAAGAGCTGTTTTGCAGCATTCATCAGTGGTATCTGAATGTTCCAGAAACGGTAATTAGTTTACCACACCCATATGGGGGGAGATAACTACATCATCCACATTTTTTTAGGGAAGCTTTTATGGGAGTTAGCAGTACCAAGTACTTTATAACCTCAGAGCATAGGTCCAGTGGATTTCAGATGTACATGTGAATGCTCAACACTTCAACAGATCAGACTCAAAGATATCAAGGTAGTCTTCCAGAAAAGGAGGAATACACAGTTAAGAACTGCATGTGAAAGATTTGGTTTAGGATAAGCAAAGCATCACGCTAGAGATGTGTGGCACTCTCAGGAGTCGAATTAATTCACCTTTATTTTTCTCTTTCTCTACTCTCCTGCCCTGTGCTTTTTCTACCATTCTACTTCTGTGACAAATGAGATGTATGTTCTAGAGAAAAGATCTTTTGTGACATGGTTGTATTTCATGCACCAAAATTCTCACGGGGAATGCGGAAGATCTGATATATGACAATACAATTCAAAAATGGTATCATAATGTATAGCATATTATGTGGTAAAGCGTATTTCGTGGCTTTTCTAAAACTCTCTTTGGCAAGCTTAGAAACTCTTGACATACAGGATCATCAATACCAAAAGAAAGCATCTAGTTTCTCTAGAACTTTCCAGCTGAGACTTTTCAAGATTCCTTTTTTGGTCACATTAAGGTGGCATTTTCAACTAGTATAGTGGAAGCCACTTTTCCACCAGCAGTGTAGCACCACTGCAAAATTAGAGTGCTCAGTGGATAAAAGCGGTTAAATTTCTTAGCAAAACAGTTGTAAGATACCTATATCTACACCTAAGTAAAAATCAAAAAATATTTGCTTAAATCTTGTTCCCTGAAATGGTTCACATTTGCTGAAATTTCTTAAAATATGTTCTATACCAACCTTAAGCATGTACTGGGCATGAAAAGTCGTGGTCTAAATAGCTTTACTTCTGGCTAAGTTCTAAAGTGCTAAAAGCAACTAGCCATAGCAAAAGTCAGATAGTCCTAACTATAGAAAGTGCTGTCTGCCCAGCCTACAATAATGGGTAAATCTATTATGGTCAATGAAGTTACAGAGTCAAATGCAATCAAAATCAGACTGTGCACCTACCATTAGGCAGTGATAATGACAGAGCTTATTGAGAATCATTGTCACTCTCCATGTAACTCACACAGTCTATTTGGTGCCCATGCTGTTGACCTTAGGAGGTCAACACTTCTGTTACCAGAAGCAAAACATCATGTAAGACTAAGAGGATTGTAATTTAATTGTAATTATTGACACCCCATTAGCATTATTCTTTTTTAGACTACATTGTAGCAGTTTTGCAGTGGATATCATTAGTGAACAATTGCACTTTTAAGCATGGGCTCAATAGGTATTTTGCATTTTCTTCCCATCAGGATAACATAAGCTTAGTAAAAAAAGGTGTAGCTGCAATGTTTAAAGATTATTTAAAAATACTTCGGTATTTGGGATGGTCTTACCTATCGGTTTAACTTACATCTGCCTCTAGAAATTAATGGAGTTCAAATTGAAGTAAAAGGAGCAACAAATGATAGTGGTGAAGTTGGAGGAAGAACATCTCTGAGTATCAGAAAATACCTCATTTTCTATTTTCTTTGTTCCCTCGGGATTTGTGACTCAGTTCTTACATCCTACCTTTCCACCACCACTCCATTTCTCTCTTGCCTACCCATGATTCCCATCATCCTACCCAGTCCCCAGCTTCTCTCCTCATCCCCATTCCTTTTTTCTTCTCTCCCCTATATCTTCAGTTACCAGCAACTTCTGTGCTCTCCCAAGTTTTCCAACAAGCCCAGGCAAGACGCAGCATGACATATTGCCAGCCAGCAGGCCAAGTAGCACAGATCCTTACCTTTCAAGGGATCATTAATCTAGGTCTCCCTCCATTGCAGAGCTGCCATTTTTTCAGGAACGTGCAGGAACTGAGACCTCTCTTACACCTTCAAACTCTTTGAAGTTGATAAAATGGTTCAAAAAACAGAAAGACAAACCAACAGCATAATGACATTATTCTTATTCCCTGGGGAAATCAAGCTTCACACGAGAGACCTTCTTTGTGGTAATAAGTCTGATGAGCATATCACACAGGTGTCTTTTTTGTTTGTTTTATTATTTAACAGTTTGACATCGACAAGGAAGCAGGAGAGAGACAGATTTACCATCGGTACTGTATGGAACGGGCATCTGTACATTGTGCCCATGTGTTCACCACAGTCTCACAGATAACAGCTATAGAAGCAGAACATATGCTTAAAAGAAATCCTGGTAAGACCTGAATTGTGTTCTTATTTATTTCCTCTGAATACCTACATTTCCTCAGACTGAATGAAAATAATAGAGACAGGTATACAGGTATACAAACATGAAGAGCAAGGACACATGCATAGGTATGTCTGGCAACACTACATAATAATGAGAGAATAACTGATTTTCAAAAGAAAAGTGCAGATAGTATCACTTGAAACACATTCTAGTGGCATATGTAATCCAGAGAAATCAAGTTCAGCACCATTTAATAACTGCTTTCAGTACCATTCGGGAGAGCATTAGTTTAACTCCATGGATGTTAGGCTTTCTTTGCGAGGACATCTCAGCTTCAGGAGTTTTGTCTCTAGCAGGGTTTCCAGCGATGGTAATATATTCAGGTCAACTGATGAAAGCAGAAGCTGGAACCTTTGTAATACATTTCACCAGCTTTTACAGTGTGAGGTTTGTTGCTTTGCTAGAGATGAGTAACACATTCTTTTAGAAATGTAACAAAAAGTTTTGTATGCAAAACAGAATGTTAGATGGGTTTTGCTTTCCAGTGCTAATGCTCTTTTTCTTTACTTAATATTGAAAGAGATGAGAAGGCAAAAACCAAACAGTAAATCAATACAGTTCATTTCCCTGTATCTCACAACCGACAGTGTGGTTGTGGCCATCATGATCTTAGGACCTAATTATGATAAATTTCATAGATAGATATAATATTTTCTACTAGACCAACCAGTACAGTTTGAAAAAATAGTCGAGATACATGCCAAACAGTTTGTCTGACTTTCCCCTTTGTATTAGTCTAATAAAATATGGAACTTACCAACAAACCTTCTCGTTCCATGCATGGAGTTTGCATAAGGTCATGATCCCAGTTTGATGTGTCATTAAAGTTCTTTTTAAATCAGCACAGTGCTTTATAAGGACAAGCCACAATACTCCATCTGCAGGTAAGCATCATGGGGGGAAAAACCGCAAAACTATTTTGAGACTATTTGGCAGGTGTGTTCACATCTTAGCTGGTTATTTTAAGTATAGCAATGCTCAAATGACTTTGGGTTTTTTTGGTTTGCTTACTCTTTGCAGATTTTTTTTAGGTGAATTGCAGTGCTAATTATAGTTTGGGGACCATTTTCCCTGTTAACTTCAATGCTTCAAGCCACATCATGGTTCATGCATCAGGATAAAAGAGAAATTGACTATTGGATGCTTTGCCTCATTCCTGACTAACTGTCAATAGGATGATGAATTTAAAAGATTTTTCTTTTTTATTTTAAACATGACAGCCATGTCTTAAAAGTAATTTAAATGCTCAGTCATCTAATCTGGGATATCTCTGAAAGGTCTTGTTTTTTACCAAGTGCAGAGCACTTGACCTCTGAAAATCAGACTTTTGAAGCTATTTTATATTGGCATGAGGCTTCTCCCCACAACGGCTACTCTTGAAAATCATAGTTTATGTTTTGGGATTTTAGGAGACTGAAATGAGTCTGAATCCAGTTTAATTTGGGAGAGAAAATCTGCAGACTGCTCACAGATAGAACATCAGTTGAAGCTGAAGAGAATTCCATGCAGAGAGATTCACAGGCCTGAGCTTTTTTTCATTATTCCTGCAACTTTGAAGAAACCACGTAAATATATTTAATATTTGGGTTAAAAAATTTTTGACACATACCATGCTTCATGTTGACAGAGCTAGAAAGAAATTAAATAGGAATAGGTACCCCAAATCCTAGGAGACAATTATAAGTGGAAAATATGTTCTGATGGAAATAAGTAGTTTAATAGTTTCTTTGAATCTTAGACCACAAATAAACTGTGTAGGAGTCTATTCTCATACTATTTATTCTCTCTGAAGTTGTGAAATCAACATAGACATTGGCTGTTCAGAAAGGTCAGCAATCCTTCAGTAGATCATTAAGCTTGAATTTGGCAAAGGAACGTGAATACTGGAAGAATTTGTACACTTCTTGATCCACTTTAAAAATAAACTTTTAAAAGGGGGATGTAGAATTGGCACAATTAATTTTTATTTGCATTTGAATTTATTGAGAGCGAAGTTGTTAACTAAAAGTAACTCAGGAAATGTGTTAAGTAGAGCAGCCTCTGCTACTTCTCACTAACGTTAAACTTGGATTAAAATTTAAATTATAAATCTCATCACTTGGAAAAGCCCTTTAAAATTCAGTAGACATGATTGCATAGAGAGCTTTTGCACCAGGACAAAGGCCGATTTGCCAGTCTAAACCTGGCAGAATGACTGCTTGCATTACTCTGATTTCACTTGCTGCCGTTGTTATTTGATCAATAATTTGTCAAACCATACTTGAACCTGTCCTCTTCGACGTTTCATGCAAGATTCTGTCAGTGATCATAAGTTATATTCCTGTGATTTGAAAACTGATACGGGATTTTTAATATTTTCATTCAGGTGTGCAACATATAAAATATATTTCTCATTAGCAGTAGAGAAGACTTTGAATCAAAATTCCAAGAGACTTGGGTATCAGTTGAGGTCTAGATCTAGGCTTTGTATCTGTATATATTTGATCAAAATCATAGAAGTAAACTGAAAAAGTATGAGTCAACCTTGAACCTTAGTGACTTATCAACAGAAAACATCATACTGTGCTATTATTACTTAAATCAATGTCAGTTTCTGTCCTATAAATACAGAAGTCATTCTGATTTGACCTACTTGGGACAATTTTAAAATGTCATTAATTCATTACACAACAAAAACCCCAAAACACTTAAAATAGGAACAAAGCTCTCTTTCATCACTTCTTCCCTAGGGCACATTGCCTCACACATATTCAAAATATTATTGTATGTTGAGCAGAAATAGTGAACTGGATGCTTTGGGCCACCACGACTGTTCTGTATCTCAAAGGCTTAAATAAGAGATAGAATTGAGCCCCAGTCCTGATGAAAGGGTAAATGAATCTGCAGTTGAATCAAAGAACATGGGAGTAGGTTATATACAGGCTGCTGATAATGTGTGTCTAAAACTCCGTGATAAATAAATGCAAGAGAGTGGATGGAAACTGGCTAGAAATACCCAGTCAAGGATTCTTACTTTATTGGGTAGAGCTTGAAATGGTTGCAGTCTCTAAGCTATGTGTTGCATAAGCCAGTTCTTCCATGCTGAACAAGAAGCAGGTCAGAGGAATGAGAAGATACGTTGTTGGTAAAGACAAAGAGAAATGGGGGGTGTTTCTGCTCTGTTGACCCTCTCACTCATATGAGGCCACATAGGTCTTTGTTCAGAGCAGTTCCTAGTGCTGGACAGCAGAAGATAAGAACACAAGTTTTCCTGTCAGGCCCACCAAGACTCTCCTTTCTTGTCACTGAGAACCAATTCCCAAGCACCTAACCAGCAAGATTTCCTGGTAAAGGCTGGTCTTCAGTTTGAAATGTGCTATTTCAAGACAGATCCATCGAAATTTTTGGTATTGCATGGTTACTAATGAAGGTTATATTTTTATCTACTACTGTTTTAACCTAAAGAGTCTCAAAACACTTTACAAGATAAAGAGTAATCAGAGATCACTTACCTGGCAGGGAAATACATATGCTGCTAAAGCAGACTGTAAATTTCAAGGAAGTCGTTAAAAATGGCCGTGGCATTTGCATGAAAAATGTCAAGCAAGTATACTGGACAGCATATGGAGAACTGATTGTACTTATTTTACGATCATCTTGATATGTAATCAACCAAAGGAGCCATAGATGTTTTAAAGACGTCTCCTTAAGTCTCTCCAGAAATAAGAGACAGTTTTGTATTAGGTCAGATGCTTAATGCTAGACATGCAAACCTCTACTTTTAGGGGAAGGGATGGGAAATCCTGAATGTCAGGCATCCTTGACTGAAAGACCGCAACAGAAGTAATGTTCAAGTCCTGTATCGGTGGCAAGCAAGAGACTGTACTTCCATCAGTAACGCTGATGTATGTGGGGGAGTTAACCATGTGCACTGAGATCAAAGGAGATGCTGTTTTGTTTGCATGAACCGTGTGTGGTAGGGAATGATATCTTACTGAAGGTCCTTTGGATGATGCATGGAACTTCAGAATTACTACAGTTAATGGTTGTGCTTACTAGACACCTGGTGGTACTTGCCAGAAGAACAATTACAAAATCGGCACCAGTGTATCGTCTAATAATTAGCTTCTTGCTTCTTTGAAGATTCTTTGTATTTGAAGAATTTCTGGTATCGTAAGTTAGTATAGGTCTACTGAAGTCAGTTGTGTTACTATGGAATACCTCTGCTGAGGAACTGGCCTCCCCTTTCATTTCCATACATGGCTTTGATAAGCCAACTCAAAGAAAAGAAAATGGCATTCTTTCCATTTACTTCAACTAGATTTAGGGCAAACCTTTAAATAGCTGCTGTGCTCTACTAGAAACGTGAAGAGTGACTGGATTTCAGTGTTGGTTGGAACAAGCTATGTCTATCCTTATAACTCTATGTATATCCTATAACTCTATCTTAGAAGATACTGGAAATGAATAAATTTTAATTGTAAGATGCTTTGGAATCCTTGAGGAGAGCAGCCATAAAAGTGTAAAGTATACTATTCTATGGCTATTTTTAGGAGAAATACAACAGATTACTGAAAGGTGGTGTTTTTAAAAAGGTTTCTTATACTCTCCCTTTTCTGGTAAATCCTCAGACGTCTTGACAGAACAGACCTCTCTTGTGCCATGAAGTAAACAAGTGCATAGTACAGCACAGTTTCTGCTTTCAAGAGCTTTCAATCTATAGTGATAAAGCAGGTAACAGTGATACCAAGAATAAAGAGGTAAGGGCCATATTGCACAAAAAACATATGGCTCAATGGAGACATTACTTAAATCTTGACAGGACAAAAGGGCATGGGGAGACCTTATTGTTCAGCA